AGACTGCATAGGTTTAGTTAGCAGAGGGAACCCATGAGTCATGTACAGCATGGCAAGCAGTCTGTTTTTGCAGTTTATAGTGGGGAATTATGGAAAATGAGGACTTTGGGGTAGAGAGAAAGTAGCCAAATGGAAAGTCTAAAACCCAAAGTTGAACATTTATATTCAATAATATAATTATTATATCTTACATTTTGTGGCACTTAATGGTTTCACATATTTTTTACCCACAGGACAAGCCTAAGAGTTAAGTTAGTGTTTATTATAACAGATTCATAGCTAGATTAACTGAGGTGTAGAAGGTAACTGATTTTTTCTAGGGCCACAGAACAAGTAGCCAAAAGAGAATAACTACAGATTATTGGAGAGAGAAGCCCATAATGAAAACAGTGTCTGAAGACGATCACTGGAGAGCTATGGTAGACGTGCTTAAGTAGAGGGAAAAGCTAAAAGGCCCACGCATTAACCAATAACTTAGACAGGAAATGCAGCTGATCCTCATTATTTGAAGATTCCCTAATTGTGAATTCACTTACTAAAATTTATTTTAATGCTTTTGTAATCATTTGCAAACAAACTCAGAGCAATGAAAATTAGAGTTACCGAACAGCTACCCAACCGAGGCTGAATAAGGTGACATTCTGCCTCTGGCTTCAGTTCTCACACTGTAAACAACTGCCCTTTTCAGGATCTATTTAATGTCATGGGTTTTGCTTGTTGGTGGTGCTTTCACTGTATAAAATGGCTCCCAAGCATTGTGCTGAGGTGCTGCCTAGTGTTCCTAAATGTAACGGCTATGATGTCCCTTATTCAGAAAGTGCGTTAGATAAGCCTCACTGTGGAATGATGTACAGTGCCGGTGGCTGTGAGTTCAATGAACCAATGGCTGATTGATTAAAATGTTATGACCAGAGGCACATAAGAACCTAACCTTGTATTTCCCCTAGGAGCAGTGGTTCAGGATTTGCTAATTCAGTGTTCATGCTGACTTTATAGAACATAACTACTATGAGTAACCAGAATCTACTGTATTTATTAGTGCTGAGTCTCAGCTCTAGCCATAGAAGTCAGTCTAATTGTTCCCTGAAAACCTAATGGAGAATTTGAGTTTGTATCACATTTGGCCTCTTTTTCCCCTGTGAGTTAAATGGGAGCATTAATGGAATCCATTTGAGAGTAGAGCATCTAGTCCCAATATGGTGTCAGAGTAAGGCTCAAATGTTCCTGTTCCTCAAGTTCAAGCATAATATGAACATTATAGTTGGTTTAAGAGTCTGTAAGAAATGATTCCCTTCCCATGTATGTGTTTATCATGTATGTATTAGATTGACAGTATAGCATTTTAATGTAATGTTTCCCTCCAATCAATTCTTGCCCTACTTTCACTCCATATCAGTACTTAGCTCCATTATCCATTCAGTCCTTCAAGCTAAAAACCTGGGAGTAATCCTTGATCTTTTTCTTTCTAACCCCAACGTCCAATCTATCACCAAGTTTTGTTGGTTCTACCTGTAGTGGTTACTTATCTGTGGTCTCTCAGCCCCACACCCTCCCTTCTATAAACTGTGTTATCCTACTGGATTTTCCAGATTCTCTTGTCAGCTGTTAATTTCTGCCTATGGGAGGCACCAGCAAGATATGAGAAGGTGGGTGAAAGGAAGCAGCGGCCATGGCTCTCAGTGCTGTAGTAGTGGGGGTGAGGGTCTGCATAGAGCCTGTGTGGCACCTCCTAGGCCATGCAAGACCACCGTAGTACCTCTTCTGCTTCCCACACCCGCAGTGGATACCACGCCTTTAACCCTCCATTCCTTCAGCACCCTCCATTCTCCCTTTTGTTTCTTCAGCCCTTCTAACTCTTTTATAACCAATTTCCCATTAACTCCCTTTGTTAGAAGTAACTAACCTGGTTTCTGATTTCCTGACTAGAGCTTGGCTTATATAACCTACAAAATATTTCCCAAATCTGCCCATGTCTACTACTACCACCACTCCCACCCTAATCCAAGGCACAATTATCTCTCACCTGGATTACTGCAATAGCTAGACTCCCTGGCCACAACCAGGAAGGCCTAAAGCTAGAAAGGCAGGTAGCCTGTATGGCAGGCAGCATTGGTTGGTGAGAGACCTCCAGAAAAAATAAGTTCCAGGCGAAAAATGATTCCCTCTACTGCCAACCTTGGAGGACTGGTGTTTGATTTTATTTCAAAAAGTTGATTTGTTTAAACTGCTAATCACTTAAGATCTATTCTTAGGCCAAGTTCCTTCTCTCTGCCTTATGCTCAGCCTGCTTTTTCCTCTTTCATGTTATAGAACAGCAGGATAACCTGAAAGATAAGAGCATTTTATTTAAAATCTTTGCCAAGTAACTTTAAGAATGAATGAAAACAATTCCATTGCTAGCTCAAAAAGACCATCTTCTAAACTTTCCTCCTAACTCAAGCATCCTGGGATCCCAAAAATTCCAATTCTTCTACCTCAAATCTCCATTGGGTAGAATGCATCATTCCCATGGGAGGGAAATATGAGCCAAGCAGAAACCATTTAATGAACATGTGAAGTACTTTCTGGCAGAGAGGATAGGATATGCACTGTCGCTGAGTCAAGGCAAGGATGTCAGGTGGCTGATAACCATCTCTCCTTCTCAGCTGGGTAGAGAGGCCAGCTCAGCCTTCAAAGAGAGTGACCTGGGGGGTGTCTCAGCTGAAGGTTAATGTCTCTGCATCTCCAGCTTGGGAGGTGGAGTTGGATGGAGGGGTGAATGCTTTCTTGCTTTCAGCTAGAGCTTTAAAATGCTGTGAGGAAAGAGAAGAGGGAACATGGAGTATTTGGGATATGCTTGTTGCTACATTTCAGCAAGAACTAACCTCTTTACAATCCTTAAGTTCCAGTTTTCTCCCAATCCTACTTCCAAAACAATTCCTTAGTGTTGTCTTGAGAAACAGCTAGAAATTTACCCTACCTCCTTCAAAAATGAACCCCCTCTTTCTTCCTGCTTCCATTCCTTAGGCCACTTGGTTCTCCTACAGAATTAGTGTCCTCTGTAGATCCTTACCTGACCTCATCTAAGGCTCACATCTCCTCTACTTCCCCTTCCTTTAAAAGCCCCACCCCTAACTGTTTTGCAGCTCTCTTATTATGGAGAAGGGTAATGGTAACTCCCAGCAGAGACATCCTTCATTGTCATGGGACACAATCACAGCCGACCGCAGTGGAGACTGCAGCAATTCTCACTACAACTTAAGTCAATCTCTAATGCTATACTTACTTGTGAGTTCTTGAATTACAAGTAGAGGGAAAAGAGCAGGTAGAGGGACTGAATCTGATTCTTATAGATAGGGATGTCTAGGATGGCTGAAATCAAGAATTCCCATAAGCAAAACCAAACACAAATCCAGAACTCATGGGCTTTTCTGCTTAGGAGAGCCAATCCCCTCCTAGATGGGATGTGTTACCATGGCTTTGAGGATTAAATACCTGGCAAGTAGTCACATAAGCCCAAACACCACCCTTGACTGTTGTCAGCAGTACAACTGGCTTAAAGTGTAGCCTGTAACTCAAGATGCTACCCAGGGTAAACAAGACTTTTCAAAAGCCCACAGTGTGTTTATTAAGAGACAGGGAAAAAAAGGGGTGGAAGAGCTTACCGCAGATCATGTCAATATACTCTGCCAGGCTGCAATCAATCTCTGCCGTGGGCAGGCTCATCTAGGAAGGGCATGGGATGGACCAAGGTCAAAAGGCTGAACTCTCTCTCTGAAGAAAAAGAGCTCTCAGTATAACACATATGTACTACCTGCTAAGTGGTGTTCCGTCAAAATCCATATGTTGAAGTTCTAACCCTCAGAATGTGTATTTGGAGATAAGGTCTTAAAGGAGATAATTAAGTTAAAATGAAGTCATTAGGGTAGACCCTAATCTAGTATGACTGGTATCCTTATAAAAAGAGGAAATTAAGACACAGACACATACATAGGGAAGACCATGTGAAGACACAAGAAGACAGCTGTCTACAGGCCTCAGAAAAAAAATCATGCTAACAACTTGATCTCAGAATTCTAGTTTCCAGAAGTGTCTTTCTCCATCTGACTTAACTCCACTCAGCACAATACCCTCTAGGTTCATGTTGTTGCAGATGGCAAGATGTCATTCTTTGTTTATGGCTGAGTAATATTCTATTGCATATATGTACCACCTTTTCTTTATCCATTCATCCATTCATGGACACCTAGGTTGCCTCTGTAGCTTGGCTATTATAAATAATGCAGCAATGGCCATATAGATGCACATGTCCCTTCAAAGTAGTACCTTGAGTTTCTTCAAATACCCAGAAGTGAAATTACTAAGTCCTTCATTGTCTCTTGTTATAGCCTTTGTTTTAAAATGTTTTGTCTGGTATAAGTATTGCTCCTCCAGATATTTACTTTTCATTTCCATTTTCATGAACTATCTTTTTCTATTCCTTTACTTTCAGTCTGTATGTGTCTTTTGATCTGAAGTGAGTCTCTTGTAAGTAGCATATGTAAGGGTCTTGTTTTCTTATCCATTCAGCCACCCTATATCTTTTGATTGGAGCACTTAATCCTTTTTCATTTGAAGTGACCGTTGATAAATATGTTATTGCCATTATTCATATTTTTTCATCTTTGTTTTCTTTTTCTTTCTTCTTAAAGAAGCCCCTCTAACATTTCCTATAATACTGGTTTGGTGGTGACAAACTCCATTAGCTTTTTCTTGTCTGAGAAGATCTTTATCTGTCCTTTGATCCTAAATGGTAGCTTTGCAGTGAAGAGTAATCTTAGTTGTAGGTCCTTGCTCTTCACCACTTTGACTATTTCCTGCCAATCCCTTCTGGCCTGAAAGTCTCTGTTGAGAAATCAGCTAACAGTCTTATGAGAGTTCCCTTGAAGGTAACTAATTGCTTTTTCTCTTGGTGCTTTTAAGATTCTTTGTCTTTAACCTTTGGCATTTTAATTAGGATGTGTCTTGGTGTGGGCTTCTTTGGGTTCATCCTGTTTGGGACTTTCTGCACTTCCTGGGCTTGTATGTCTACTTTCTTTACCAAGTTAGGAAAGTTTTCCATCATTATTTCTTGATATAGGTTTTCAATTCCTTACACTCTTTGTTCTCCTTCTGGTACCCCTATAACAGAATGGTGGTTCACTTGATGTTGTCCCACAGGCTTCTTAAACTATGCTCACTTTTTAAATTCTTTTTTCTTGTTGCCGTTCTGATTGGGTGTTTTCTGTGACCTTATCTATTAAATCGCTGATTCAATCCTCTGTTTCATCTAATCTACTCTTGATTCTTTCTACCCTTGGTCTAATGGGTGTGAGGACTGGCCTTGGTCTAATGGGTGTGAGGACTGGCCAGTATTGTATTCTTCATTTCTGACTCATTCTTTTTTTACGTTTTCTATCTCCATTTTATGTTTCCTCTGTTGAAGTAATGAGTTCATCTACTCTTCTCCTAAATTCATTGAGCATCCTTATAGCCAGTGTTTTCAACTCTGCATCTGGTAGATTGCTTGTCTCCATTTTGTTTAGTTCTTTTTCTGGAGCTCTGCTCTATTCTTTCATTTGGGACATGTTTCTTTGTCCCATTTTGGCTGCCTCCTTATGTTTATTTCTATGTATTAGGTAGGGCTGCTATGTCTCCCAGTCTTAGGAGAGTGGCCTTATGTAGGTATCCTATGGGGCCTAGTGGTGCAGTCATCCCTGGTCACTTAAGCGGAGTGCTCCAGGTCTGTCCCTGGTTGTGCTGTGTGTGCCCTCCTACTGTAGTTGAGACTTGATTGCTATTTGCACATCAATGGGAGGGACTACCCTTGGTCTAATGGGTGTGAGGACTGGCCAGTAAAGGGCTTACCCTATAGAACAAGATTCACTTAGCTGGGCTCTGGTGCCTGCCCAGTCTTCCCTTTAGGTATGTTGTCCTCAGAAGCAGCCCCAGCTTGGTCAGAAGCTGGCTACTAGGTATACCACCCCCAGGGCCAGGGCCAGGGTCAGGTTCAGTGGCAGCCTGTGTCCTGCCTGGGGCCACCTGGAAAGAGTCAGCAAGCAATCCACAGATGGCCACCAGGTGCTGGGCTTAGAGGTGCCTTGAGAAGCCAAGCTGCAAACTGAGGCCAGCTGTCAGTAGTGCCAGGCATGGGGCTGCCCAGCAAGAGGTACAGGGCATACTGAAGCCAGATGTTGCTTGTTTGAGTTTTGTGAACCTTTGAGAGATTTTAGCAAAGTCCGCAGCATGAGCCAAGACAGGCCATTTGTATGGAGAAGCCACTGGAGGCAGCTTGAGTGAGCCCTGCAAGTTGGGTGAGGCAAGATCTCAGGGAATCACCAGGGCAGGGCAACCAGTGTAAGCCAGGTTGACGGACACTCAGATATGGTGACACCTGCATCTGCACTCTGGGATGGGGGAGGGCTCAACAAAGCAAAGAATGGATTCTGCCAGCACTTCTGTCTGGGAGAAAGCTGTCCCTCCAGTCCTCACCCTGAAGCCAGACAATTCAGTTCCTCCTTGTATATCCCTGGCACTCTTTGAGCAGCTGCCCAAGCACTAGAGCTCAGAGCAAGTGAGTCCATCAGCAAGTAAGTTTGTGCACAGGCCCCTTAAGAGGAACGTCTGCAACTTCAGCTGCCCTCCATCTTACTCAACTACAATCTCCACTAGTTTCCACGGCCAGAAATTGTGGCAACTTCTCTTCCTGGTACTTGGGAACCCAGTGTGAGGCCAAGACCCCTCGCTCCTCCAGGGAGACCTCCGCAGCTGAGATATCTCCCCCAATTCTCAACTGCCATGGGCAGGTATGAGGACCAGCCCATTACACATCTGTCCCTCCTACCAGTCTCAAGGTGGTCTCTTCTGTATGTTCCCAGTTGTAGGAGTTCTATTCAGCTAGACTTCAGGAGACTCCCAATGATGGTTGTTCTGTTGTTTAGTCGTAATTCTGATGTGGTCGTGAGAGGAGGCAAGTACATTAACGTACTCCACCATCTTGAATGGAACTCCAATTAGAACTATATAGGTTTATTTTTACGTTAACTCTTTAATTCATTTGAAATTTACAAATGCATATAGTTGAGGCATAGACTTAATTTAAATTTTTTCAAATGGCTAGTCAATCATCTCATCACAATTCAATCATTTAAAATAGTACCTTTCTTATACATCAAATCCCACGTATATATGGGTTCATTTTTGTATTGTTATGTGCTGCTGATCTATTTCTATTTCTATTCCTGTGCCAATGTATTATTTTTTTATTTACTATTGCTTTATAATGTGTTTCTTATATCTGAGAGGGTATAGCCGCCATTATTTTCCCTGAAAATTTTCATGATTAGTCTTAAAAGTTGATTCAGATAAACTTTATTACCAAATTTTCAAATTTGAAAAAAAAAATGCAGTTAAAATCCTAATTAAAATGGCATTACACTTACACAGTAAATTGAGGAGGACTAACAGTGCTATGAGATTGAATGTTCCCACCTAGAAACATGGCTTGACTCCTCATTCATTCAGATCTTGTGTTTCCCCTTCATTAAAGATTTATAATTTGTTTTCCAAAAATATCTTACCAATTCCCTATTAAACTTATTCTTTTTTTTTTTAATTTGGAGTAATTATGAATAGGACATCAGCTTCTCAGACTAGCATAAATATCTTGGTGGAAAAGGTGGAGTCTAAAGTAATAGAGGAAGTACACATGTTCACCAAAGTCATGTGTTAAAATGTTCATAGAAATATTATAGTAATAATACGTAGTAATTTGTATTAACGCCAAACTGGAACCCAAATGGCCAACATAGAATGGATAAATAGTCACATATTCAAACAATGGAACACCATATAGTAATGAGAACAAACATACAACCACAATATACGAAACAATATGGATAAATATCCATATGGATGAACAATATAGATGAGCAAAAGAAAGAAGACAAAAGAGAGTACAATTACATTTCAATAAAATACAAAATTGGCAAACCTAACCTATGATGTTAGAAACCAGGATAGAAGTTATGTTGGGAGGTGAGAGCTTGAGGGGGCTTCTTGGATGTCAGCAATGTTGTTTTCTGATCTAATGTGTTGACTTAAACAGCTAGTGAAAATTAATCAACATGATTAATACATTTATGATTGTGTTTTATACTTCAATTAATAAGTTAATAATGATAATAATATAGGAAAAGAGAAAACACTGGGCCTTAGAGCAAAAGCCATACTTATTTAGCTCCTACTACCTTCCACTCACCTTGCCCAAAACCTCTTCAAACTCAGGGGACCATTCCTGCATCAGTGTGTCAATATCAGGCATGGGCATAAAAATATAGAAGTAAATATAAACAAAAAACATGGGCAAGTAACATCAGCAACCTCTGGATCAGGATATTTGGGATGAAGGAAGGATCTCAGTCTGACACATGAGGATTTCAGAAGAACACAGACGGCAGCCCAAACTTATCCAGGGTCTGGCTAAGTAATAGCAGATAAAATACAATCTTTATGTCTGCAATCTTAGCCAGTAGCTGCTGGGATCCACAGGACCTCAGGTTGATCAAGTATGTCTCCAGCCTTTGGGCCCTCAGAAGCAATGGGTTCACAGGTCGTGAAGGTTACCATGGGTTACTGTGGTGAAGAATGTAGTATATCTTACCTGGTATAGTGCACAGTCGCAGGAGGCTTAGAACGATGTAACTCAGAGATGCTCTCAATCCATGTGTCAATGGCTTTTGGATTCTTTTCTGCATCTTCCAGGCTCTTTACTTTCATATGTTGCTAGAAAAACAAGGGGAAAGCCTGGTTGATAGCACTGAAGTAGCTCTCTTATTTCTACAGAGACTCATCATATGCTGCTATTTCATATACAAGGTAGTTGACAAAAAGGGAAGCTTGACAGCAGCCAAATGAAGATTATAGGAAATCCTGATAAAATTTTCCAGAGCCATGGGAAAGGGGCAGATCAATAGTACAGAACTGACCACAATGAGATACCATTTCATACCTACTAGGATGGCTAGAATTAAAAAGACAATAATAAGTGCTGATGAGGATTCGGAGAAATTGAAACTCTCATTCAGTCACCAGTGGGATTGTAAATGGTTCAGCCACTTGAGAAAACAGTTTGGCAGTTCCTCAAAATGTTAAACTGTTACCACATAGCTCAGCAATTCCACTCCTACATATATATCCAAGAGAAATAACAATATGTGTCCATGTAAAAATTTGTACATGTTCATGGCAGCATAACTAAGAAAAGCAGAAACAAATGGTGAATGGATAAACAAAATGTGGTGTATCCATACAGTGGAATATTATTCACCTACAAAAAAGAAGTGAAGTAGTTAACAGGGTCTAGGAGCGAGGAGAATGAGGAATGACTACTAATGGGTATGGGGTTTCTTTTTGGAATGATGAAAATGTTAGATGGTGATGGTTGCACAACTCTGTGAATATACTAAAAAATCACTGAATTGTAAAATTTAGTTTTTTTAATTGTTTTATTTGGGAAAAGTGCTTCTTACAAAAGGGTAGCTGCAAAATACAGAGAGCTCTGTAACAATTACTTGTTTCTTGTTTTCTCTTAAAGTGAAAGAATGGGTGAGATCTAAAGAATCAAAGCAGTAGATGGACAACTTAGGAGCAATTCCAAGTTATTTTCAGGAAATAGAGCTATGAAATGCAAAGCTAAAACTTCCGATTAAAGAATTCTTCTAATAACTTGTTTCATTTTAGTCACACTTTAGTGGGAAAAAGTGACTTATTACTGCAAACCAATGACTCCACTACAAGAAACACCTTAAAACATAGTTTTGAACCATATCCGTCTACCTGCAAAGCTCAGGAATGGAATGAGGCAAATATCCACAAAAACAAACATGAAAACCCAACAGCAAAACCCGTCAAACAAGGACAAAGGTTTGTCAAAAAGTTCCTGGACTGGAAAGTCTGGGAGATCATTAAATATCAAATACAACCATGTGTATCCAAGTCCCAGCTCGCGTTAATATAGGAATAACGAGATAGTTTTAACCTCTATGGCTAAGCCCATTTCTCTTATTTATAAAGACAAAGCTAGACTAGCACTGTTCCATTACCAGCTACCAACATACTGCTTTGTCCTGTAAGATCTATTTGCCACACTAGGCTGAAACCAATAAACCAAGGTTTTACACTAAGGCTAAGAACACTGCATCTATGCAGGGATGAGAAGCTTATCAAACACACTCACAACATGCCAAGTCTAACAGCCCTTGAAATTCAGCTTTCAACTCTGCATTTCTTTTATGCCACTGTATCTTTTATATACGTTCTTTCACAATTTTCCTTTCACACTAAACAGTAAAAATCTCAACACATTCACACCTGGTTACCCAGTAGTATTACTTGTGTGCAATTTAACAGAGACCAAAACCACAGAACAAGAGCACGGGATGGGGGTTACAGGGTATTCACCTCTTAAGTCTACAGCAGAAAGCTACTTTCCACAGTTAAACAGCAACTTTTATGGTAGGTAAATTATATCTTAATAAAATGATTATTTAAAAGATCAGGCTGTCCTGAAACCAAAGCCACCCCTTTTAATAGACAGTAAGTCAACTGTGCAAATACCAGCAAGACCCCTGCTCTGGCCCTCTCTAGCTGGGGCCTTATACAAGGCTAGTGTCTTACTGTGATGCTGTGCTGTTTGGAATTCTCTGTTAACCAGAGTGAAAGCACTGTAGGGTCTGACTGCTTGGTAGAGGGTTCGTCCAATACCAACAGGCCAAGGCTGTCAGCCTTTCCATCAGGACGTGGGACCTGGTTAGGAGAAAAGTAAGAAAACAGAGAAAAAAACGACAGGGACATAAAAAAGCCACATATGTTGTTTCCAATGAGCTGAAGAGGAAGAACTCTTCTGGTTCATCATTATTACTAGTATTAATATTGTACTAAAATCCTATTTAGAAAAACATACATGATCTATGGGACCTTAAATATAAAGCTGAAGTTATGGATAATTAGGAGGCACATATATGACAAATTTTTAACCTATAATGAGATAATCAAGTATTATCTAATAGCAATGAATATAATATGGAGTAGAGAGCAAGGTTAAGGACTCTAATGAAATGAAGAATATATATCAAGTTAGCCAATGCTAGTCAAGGTAATGAGTGGAACTGCTTGAGTAACAGAGGAGTCAGAAGAAAACACCTAAGGAGTCATTTTTAGGATATTCTGACTGTACCTTTAAGAATGCATCAATATCCCCAACAGCTGGGATAAAATCAGGAATAAAAGGTTTCAGTTTGTGGTCCAGGTCAATCACCTGAGGTGTATACCTAGGAGATATTGCCAAGGGAAGGTGGAGACAGAGAAATTTACTTTAAAATCTAAGGAGAATGGCCCTGTTTTGGACTAGAGGTAGGAAAGGGCAAGGTAGGGTCTGAGGCTTATGGTGGGAAGTCCTAACACTTACCGGCTGATATACTGGAAGAGTTCCTTAATCTCGGCAGAAACTGGCAAATGCTCATAATCTGCAGGATCATAGGCCCTGGGCAAAGAAAAATGTGACTCCGGGTGACAAGAGAAGAGTGGCTGTCACTGAGCCCTGCTTCAGCCTGTGTGTTACTCTGACCACAGGGCATATGACTCTGTTACCTAGCTTCTGCTCCACCCACATCTGCCTTTCCTGGGTGGTTTGCAAGGTAACTTCAAAATTATAATTTGCTCTCAGTTATCTCTGACAATAAAGAACAGCACTGCAGAAAATCGAAACATAATTTTTAAGTTTTTAGAATATAGCAGAAATTGTTTTCCCTTTTTTTGAATGAAAGGGATAAAAAGAAAAGATGGAATGAGGTTTTAATTTATGGCATGAAAACAGTCTGCCTCAAGGAAAACAGGAATTTTCATAACGATGTTTTTTGCTGTTATTTACAAAAGTAAAAAGTTAGAAACAAAATATCCAACATCTGAGTGATGGTTAGGTATGTTGAGTTGAATATTGCATAATAGTTAGTAAAAAAATACTTGTACTGATACATGAAATGCCTACAGTAAAAAAGGCACATTAATTATAATTAAGTAAAATGTAATGAACATTGGCAAAGTGTATAAGTGACTTGGAAAATTATTAATAAGGTTGTTCTAGGGAGAGTTGTTTAACAAAGAATGAAACAGATTGATGACTGAAAGTTTATATTTCCCCTGATTATAATTTATGGAAGCATGATATGATCATGAAGTAAATAGGGAAGCATGAAAAGTCAGTCTGGTAGGATGACCTGAAGGATGACCAATTGGCCCCCTTTAAAGGTAGGTTTTGAAAGCTTGGCTTCCATATGCTATATGGCTTAGATTGAGGTTAACAGATAGTTGATTCTAGTTTTTAAAATTATTTAATGTTTCTTTTACAGTAAAGCAGCTATTGGCACATAAAATTGTGACACATTGCAGGACATCAAAAACTGCTTTCAGTCACATTTTCCTCTATGCATAACACAAATTTATTATACATAGTAAAAAATGTATTTTAACTAATCTGTAATATATGTGACATATGACATACAGTTGCAGAATTTACTCAGTAACTAAGCCTTACCGGTATATAATTGATAAAAATCTTCTATAGTGTTCTTTCCAAATTCAAAACTTGCCAAAATTACCCTTGTTCACAGGGAAGCAGTTTGACAAAGGGAGGTTTTTAAGAATATTGATTGTCAATTTAAAGATTATTCAAAAATGGATTCTATCTGCTGATTCTGGTTGCATACTAAATTGGAAACATAAATGAGCCTTGAATATTTACCACAAGATGATGAAGTCTAGAAAAATTTAGGGTAAATATACAAAATCAGGAGCTCAATTTAGGAAAATTGTTTACTTTTCTTTTGTCTGCTCCTGCTTACCTCTGCCTGCTTACCTCTGCCTGCCTACCTCCTGCCTACTTACTCCAATACCACTCCATATCATATACTAATCTCTTTCAAGTCCTCAAATTAACTCAACTTCTTTCTGGCTTTAGGGCCCCTCCACATTTCACTTGCTATTCCCTTTTTCTGGCCTACTTTTCCTCTATGTCTGGATTCTTCTCATCTTTCAATCTCAGATGTCACCTCCTGACCACCCTACCAAAAGAAGATCCCACTCTCACCATCATTCTCCATAACATCAAACTCTTGACCTCTATCAATGCACTTACTGCATTTGTAATTATGTCTGTTTATTCATCTGTCATCTGTCTCTCATGATTACAAGCATCATGATGGCAGGATCAATATCTCTTTTAATATTGTACACATAGTGCCAAGCATAAGGCTGACACATAGGCAGAGGACTTTATATACCACAGACAAATGCCTAAAAATTTAGTTTGTGCATAAGATGTTAAAACAGTACAGTAGTCATAAAGTGGGGCTACCTTAAAACATTACCTTTTATGCTTTTTATGACAGCCTGTATCACTACAGCTTTCTGCATTACTTCAAATATTCTTCTTCACCTGAGTTTTCAAAACTTGTTAGTGAAGGATAACTAAAATGTAACCATTGGACAATGTGCTAAGGCTGAACATAATGGCTGCTAAGCAGAGCACATGTGCAACTTCAAGTTCCTGTCTGACTAGAGCTGTAGGCATCTTTCCACCTTTCTTTCTGAAACAGGGTAATTCTCTAGGTTCATAAAATAACAACAAAATGACATCTGGATCTTCGGACTTCAAAATTAAAGTCCCTTTCACAAAATATTGGCAGTACCACAAGTATTGACAATGAACAAATGCCTAAACAATCCCAGACTTGCTTTATTATGAGACTTACTTTGAGTGCTTGCCAAAAATAAAAATTTCCAGGCTTTTACTTCCAAAACTCTGATTCAGTAGTTCTGGGTGGGGACTAGGAATCTTCATTTTTCAAAATTAAGGACCCCCAGTTGATTCTTATGACCAGTAAAATTTGCAAAACACTGGCCTACATAAAACATTAAGCACTCTGTGGAGAGGTGCGATTCCAAACCAGCATTGGTCCTCTTCCTCACCCAAGACACCAGTGTTACACAAAAACTTCTCCCCATTCAAATTTCCCTTTAAGGCTTCTTGGCTCGAGGTCAAGCAGTCGAGTCATTCTGCTGCAGCTCTCATTTAGGAATTGCTGACAGGCTGGCTGAGGAAGGAGGGAAGGGAATCGTGGAGGTAAACAACAGCCAACTTCTGAACCAACTCCCCAAAGCTGTTAAGGTACACGCGCGCCGGCAGAACAGTATTCGTCTGTAGATGGCGTCTCTCTCAAGCTCAAAGGTACCCAACCACTAGAGGTGAATATTTAAGAACTGTTTACTACTAAACTGGTATCATCTCAAAATAACTACTAAAAAATCAAAGCAAAAATTCCACAAGAAGCTGTGGGTTACACCTTATTATTTTCCTCTTCATACTCATCATTGCTGTTATCAGCATAGTCTTGTTAGGAGGATGGGCAGAATGAAGAAGTCCTTAGAAGAAAAGTTTTCCCTTTGGGTTATTGTTAAAATGATTCTTAAAGACAAATATTTTTAGCTTATGTTTTATGTTTTATGGAACAGGGTTTATGTGAATATCATGGCTCTGTCAATTCAATACAACATATATTTACTAAGCATTACTATACCTAAGGTATTGGTTTGGACATTATATTAATTGATTATCTGCCATTACATAAATAGCATAAAATCTTCCCTTAGTTTATGCAATGGTAAAATGAGGTTAGTAATTAGTAAAGTGAAAAAGAGTGCTGGATTTATAGTCAGAAGGCTGAGTTTGAAAAACAACTGTACCTCTTGGACATAATAACTTAACCTCTCTAAGTCTCAGTATTCCCACCACTAAATGAGTTCAGTAGTATTTCTCACTCAGGACTGTTGTAAGGATCAAATGAAAAAACCTTAGCTGGAAGTAACTGACACA